GAACATCCCTATCGTTTGGGGTGCATGCCCAAACCCCAGGGGCAGAGCCATGCCTATTTTCTTTTTGTGTGTCTGTGTATCGCCTACAGGCCACAATTCTAAGTGATCATCTTGAATCTTTACATACTTATTCCTTATACCCTAAGGATGATCCCTATTGTTTTTGGTGCATGCCTGATCCCCGGGGACAGAGCCACGCCCATTTCTTATATTTGTTTGTTTGTCGTCTACAGGCTGCATGCCTGATTCCCGGGGGCAGAGCCACGCCCATCTCTTGTATTTGGTTGTTTGTCGTCTACAGACTGCCTTTCTTAACGTATCATCTCGAAACTTTGCATACTTAAAGTATCTAAGTCTCTAACTCAATATCATCTAAAATCTTCGACATTGGAAACATGATTTATTTGTCGGTTTAAATCAACATTGATGTTGTGATCTTACCGGGAAAAGATGGCCTTCTGATATCCAATATTTAAGACAAAATAAACATTTTACAATTGGTACATGAATCGTGTACCATAATGCGTTTCAGCGCTATTTGTAATAAGGGACTGGAAAAACGAGGCTAGGCATATTCCACAAGTCATGTCAAACGGTGATGCTATATTCTTATCTGGAGAGCATGCCCAATAAATACTATCGGCGTAGACTGCAATAACCAGAAGCTAGAGATTGAAATACGATTGAGAATACTGGCGTATGTCGCCGAACCTAACTGATTAGAAATTACAGTAAAAACAGAAAGGATTGAATGTAAATCAATTTATATACATTCATATTACATTATTGTATGCGTTGCGACCCATTTGTGTCAATTTCTAGGTCCCAAATATTAGCGCCTTAGCTCCTTTAATCTTAAGTGATCATCTTGAATCTTTACATACTTATTCCTTACTAGAAGAATGCCCGGCTTCGCTCGGGGGTCATAACCCCGAAACCGGAAGTGGTAGACTAACGCCACCTGGTCTATGTTACTCCCCGGTGCGAGCTACCCCTATACCCCAAATTTCAGACTCGGGGCAGACCTAGTGTAGCCGCCAACCCCGAACAGACAGACAGACAAACGACAGTCACAAATATTAGTATAGATGACCTAAGGAACATCCCTATTGTTTGGGGTGCATGCCCAACTCCCAGGGCAGAGCCTTGCCCATTTCTTTTTTTGTGTCTGTGTCTTGCCTACAGGCCACAATTCTTAATCGATCGTCTTGAAAAAATTTCATATGGATTCCTTATACCCTAAGGATGATCCCTATTGTTTTTGGTGCATGCCCGACCCCCAGTGGCAGAGCCACGCCCATTTCTTGTATTTATTTGTTTGTCATCTACAGACCGCATTTGTTAACAAATCACCTTGAAACTTTGCATACTTATTCCTTCTATCCTAAGGAACATCCCTATTGTTTGTGGTGATTGCCCAACCCCCAGGGGCAGAGCCACACCCATTTTCTTTTTGTGTGTCTGTATGTCGCTTACAGCCTGCAATGCTTAAAGCGAGAATTTCATATTTTCTAAGAAAGTCAAAACATAATTATTTCTATGTCTTTTGCTCAATAGGTTGTCAACTCACTATTATACGACCATGGGCATTATTTCCCACCCTTAAAAATCATTGACACAGGAAATAATAACATAATTACCTCCCTTGTTTTCCTATTGCCTCCATGCATTAGCTACCTTCAAACGTTGGAATTTGAAGTTGAAAATGATATTTTTGCCAATTTCTCAGCTGGCAATAGTGAATTATAGGATTAATAAGACTATTCCTTAACAAGGTAGGACGGTTTATGGATAGCATCTATTTTAAGGCTTTATTTTAATAAATTTTAAAAATATAACTTAAAAATATGAAATTGTAGCTTTAATCGATCGTCTTGAAACCTTTTTTATACTTATTCTTTATACCCTAAGCCTGACCTTTATTATTTGGGACAAAGCCACATCCAATATTTGTTTGCCTTTTGTGTCGCCTACAGACCGCAATTCTTAACAGATCCTTTTGAAACTTTGCTTTTTCATGTGGACGTATATTGTCGTCGCCCCTGTCCATCCGAACGTCCAGACATAAGAATGTCCGCAATTTGTTTGTGGACACTCTACAGGTCACAATTCTTATCCGATTTTGACAAAACTTGAAATATAGGTTTATCTCCAAAAGATCTTGGTTTCTTTCGATATTGGCATGTATCGAATCGAAACTTCATGGATTATGGCACCTGTTTGTACGAAAAATCACGTTTTTAGCTTGTGGACCCTATAGAGGTCACAATTTTTATCCGATTTTGTCGAAACTTTAAATGTAAGTTTATAACCCAAAGATCTTGGTTCCTTTCGATATTCGTAACTTCTGAATTATGGCCCCTGATTGTACGAAAAATCACGTTTTTAGCTTGTGGACCCTATAGAGGTCATATAGAGCCACACCCAATTTTTGTGTTTATCGTTTACAGGCCGTATTTCTGAATGGATCAACTTGGTACTTGGGATATGTATTCCTTACAGCCTTATGGCCTCAACTATTGATTCTGGTGAATGCCCCGACCCCCAAGGGCAGTCACGCCCAATTTGCCTCTAGCGCCCAAAGGCCACAATTCTGAATGGATTATTTTTGAACTTGGTATACTTATTCCTTATACCCTAAAGACGGCAACTATTGATGTTCTTATTTCAATAACAGGGTGGTACCTATTTATATTGTTCCATATCCAACCCCCAGGGGCAGAGCCACACCCATTTTTTGTATTTATCGTCTACAGGCTGCAATTCTGAATTGATCATCTTGGAATATGCATATTTATTCCTTATACCGTATAGACAGCAACTATTTATTTTGATGCTTCCCCGACCTCCTGGGGCAGTGTCACACCCACTTTTTTGTTAATATTTTGTCTGTAAATTTGGCAAAACAAACCCAACGCCTAGCCTTCTTTGCCTCTTATCATATTACAGGCATTTCATATTTCATTCTCTTCATTTTAAAAAGTAAAATCGAAGCTGGAATGTGGACGTATATTGCCACGTTAGCGATGCTCTCGTTGTATTTATCATCTACAGGCTGTAATTCTGAATGGATCATCTTGGAATATGCATATTTATTCCTTATACCGTAAAGACAGCAACTATTTATTTTGATGCTTCCCCGACCTCCTGGGGCAGTGTCACACCCACTTTTTTGTTAATATTTTGTCTGTAAATTTGGCAAAACAAACCCAACACCTAGCCTTCTTTGCCTCTTATCATATTACAGGCATTTGATATTTCATTCTCTTCATTTTAAAAAGTACCTTATCAATCGAAGATGGAATGTGGACGTATATTGCCACGTTAGCGATGCTCTCGTTGTATTTATCATCTACAGGCTGCAATTCTGAATGGATCATCTTGGAACTTTGCATATTTATTTCTTATACCGTAAAGACAGCAACTATTTGTTTTGGTGCATGCCCCGACCCCCTGGGGGAGTGTCACACCCACTTTTTTGTTAATATTTGTCTGAAAATTTGGCAAAACAAACCCAGCGCCTAGCATTCTTTGCCTCTTATCATATTACAGCCATTTCATATTTCATTCTCTTCATTTTAAAAAGTACCATATCGTGTTAGTGATGCTCTCGTATATATCTTTATCAAAATCCAGTGAAAAAAAACAATATCCCATAAGTATTTCGTGGGGAAAATTTGTTTTGGTCTTAGCTTTAGTGAGAAATGAAAAATCCAAAATGGCCACCATGACGTCAAATCACTACATGATTATGCAAATTTAAAAAAACCCACATAATTTACACAAAAACAAATATATAGACAAGACACAATACGCAGAAAATCACAAACAAACGAAGAATTCAAATAAAGTGAATGGATCCGGGCAAGGCTCTACATGGCGACTAAAACACTTGCCATGGCGACCAAATATATTATCTGGCTAGTTAAATTTTCACTTGAGTCGCCAGCTGGCGACTAAGTTTTTTTTCTCGTTTTAAAATAATTACAAAGTTTTTTTTTACAAAATTGAATTTGTTTATTCAGCGCTTCGTAAAACTGGAACTTACTAGGGGAAATAACTCCAATTTAACGACAATATTTACGACATTCATATATTTTCTTACCATGTGCCGAAAATCGTTCTAACTTACGGCAATGTATACAAAATGTACGACTACGCATGTTGTTGACCCATTTTTCTAACCCATACATTAAAGTTATTCCCTATATATTAATAAAATGAATAAAAAACAAAATCTTTTAAGCTCTTTCTTTAAAAAAAAGGAAGATTCCTCTCTGACACAGTCTTCTGACGGAAATCTAGTCGGTAGTGGCAGTAGTTCAACTACGAGTCAAAGTGACCTTGTTGTTAATATTATTAAAATTAAAATTTATTTAAATCAAAACTGGTGTTCTTTTTTCTGCATTGTTTTATATTTAGCATTATGATAAAGATTTAAAAAAACAATGCGTAATATCTAGTAGTGATTTACGTTACAGACTACAGTTAATAGCATTGTAATTTCTGGCTACTAAAATTTTGGTGCTGGCTAGTAAATTTTTAGCATTTAGTAGCCAGTGAAGACTAAATTTTCCATGCCCATATTGACCCTTGGATCCTGGGGCTAGCCGTAAGCGTCAACTGCGCTGTACAGTCCTGGGCCTGTAGTGACTCCGTATTAACTCATATTTGAAAACAATCAGGAATATAACCCAGAGAAAACCATTGTGTAATGCCGTCATGATCTGAAATATGTTACAAGAAATATGAATGTAAGAATATTGAAGTAAAATTTAGCTATACAAGTAACCACATCAGTGAAATGTATAAAAAACCAGGTAGTCTAAAAACTAAATGGATTGGTCAATTTTAATAAATTTTGGAAAGAGGCTACTTTTTATTGTGATGGTCTGATGTCTATGTTTGCCTTATAGTTATGTATATTGTGCCTTATAATGATTATAAAATGTTTGTATTGTAGAGATAATTATAATAATTATAAAATGTTTGTATTGTAGAGATGTAAATGATGCTAATCCAGTTGTGAGTAGAGGTACTTGTAATACTAATACCTCTATAGAAGGTAATCAGATCAGTAGTATTAATGTACCAAGTTTTAACTTTCACTTCGTTAATGAAAATAATAAACTACCAGTTAACACCAGAAGAAGATATGAATCACAGGTAAATTACTTTTACCTGTTAGCTTGTTTATTAAGGTATATTATGAATGCATTCCATTGATAATTGGCCAGTCTCAGAGTATCCACTGGTCACAATTTTGATCCGATTTTGCTAAACCTTAAAACATGTGTTTATATACCAAAGATCTTGGTTCCTTTCAATATTCGCACATATTGGAGTGACCATAACTTCCTGGATTATGGTCTCTGATTGTACGGAAAAATCGTGTTTTTAGCTTGTGGACCCTATAAAGGTCATAATTTTTATCCAATTTAAAAAAAACATTTGAATATATCACCGTTACACCCTAACGATGGTTGAGTTCGAATTTTGTAAAAAAATCGGACCAAAACTGACAGACAAAATGGCCGCCCCTTGTACTCAAATAGCGTAAGAATATGATATATCAATGTTGTGGACCCTCTACAGGTCACAATTTTCTTCTGATTTTAATGACATTTGAAATGCATGTTTATAACCCAGATATTTTGGTTCCTTTCTGTGCATAACGAATCGTAACTTCCAGAATTATGGCCCCTGGTTGTAAGAAAAATCGCGGATTAGCTTGTGGTCCTTCTAGAGGTCACAATTATTATTCGATTTAAAAAACGTTCGAATATAACACCATTACACCGTAATTTTTGTTGACTTTGAATTTCGTGAAGATCAGGCCAAAACTGCTGGACAAAATGGCCGTCCCTCGTACGCAAATAGTGTCAACATCTGGTAAATCAAGGTTGTGAACCCTCTAGAGGTCACAATTTTGATCCGATTTCGATGAAACTTGAAATACATGTTTATAACCCAAAGATGTTGGTTCTTTTCAATATTTATGCATATCGGATCGTAACTTCCTGAATTATGGCCCTTGATTGTAAGAATAACTGACAGACAAAATGGCCGCCCCTCGTACTCAAATACCGTAAAAATATGATATGTCAAGGTTGTGAACTCTCTAGATGAAACTTGAAATGTAAGTTTATAACCCAAAGATCTTGGTTTCTTTCAATATTCGTCATATCGGATCGTAACTTCCTGAATTATGGCCTCTGGTTGTACGAAAAATCGCGGATTAGCTTGTGGTCCTTCTAGAGGTCACAATTATTATTCGATTTAAAAAACGTTCGAATATAACACCATTACACCGTAATTTTTGTTGACTTTGAATTTCGTGAAGATCAGGCCAAAACTGCTGGACAAAATGGCCGCCCCTCGTACGCAAATAGTGTCAACATCTGGTAAATCAAGGTTGTGGACCCTCTAGAGGTCACAATTTTGATCCGATTTCGATGAAACTTGAAATACATGTTTATAACCCAAAGATATTGGTTCCTGTTGATTTTCGTGAAAACGGATCGTAACTTCCTGAATTATGGCCCTTGATTGAACAAAAAAGCTCGTTTTTAGCTTGTGGTCCCTGTAGAGGTTACAATTTTTATCGGATTTAAAAAAAAAAAAACGTGTGAATATATCACACTAAGATCATGGTTCCTTTTGATAATCGCGGATATCCGAACTTAACTTCCTGAATTATGGCCCCTGATTATTTGAAAAATCACATTTTTAGCTTTCGGATTCTCTAGAGGTCACAATTTTTTTCCGATTTCAAAAAACGTTTAAATACATCGAAAAAAATTGAAATGAAACTGCCCGACAAAATGGCCTCTCTTTGTATGCAAATTGTGTGTAAATGTGTAAGACGAACATTGTGGACCCTCTAGAGGTCACAATTTTTATCCGATTTTGACGGACCTTATAACATATCTTTATATCCCAAAGATCTCAGTCCCTTTTGATATTTGCACATTTCAGGTGATAACTTTTGTAGCAATATAGTCGTGGCGACATTGTTTTTAAATTTATAGACAATTAATAGAGAATTAAGATGACTTTAAATTTCATTAATTAATATATTTGGCAAATTAATAGTTTCACACATATTCACATATATATTATATATAGTGTGTACTAAATCAACTTAGTCTGTAATTGACAGTTGACACATAAAAAGAGTTATTTAGCCATAACATGTGTCAATAAAATACCACTGGATTACACGTGAGTGGAATTATTCTAATTGCATCATTTGGCTTAAAGTAGCTAAGTCTCTAACTCAATATCATCCAAAATCTTCAACATTGAAAACACAAATTTCTTGTCAATTTAAATCAGCATTGATACTGTGATCTTACCGGGAAAAGATGGGCTTCTGATATCCAATATTTAAGACAAAATAAACATTTTACCATTGGTACACGAATCGTGTACCATAATGCGTTTCAGACCCAGTTCTAGCAAGAGACTCGAGGAACCATGCATCGGTATTTCTGCGCACAGCGTGCTCAGGCACATTTGCTTTAAAAAAACTTTTTCGCAGGCACATTTTTAAAGATGTAGCCACGCCGGACGGCGCCTGCGCCCGCTGCGCGGCACTATTTTTTGCCGCCCAGCACAAAGAAAAAATCGAAGGAAGCGGCCCAGTCGTATTTAAACCCCTTCGTCCTTCTCTGTACACAAACTCTGCGCTCGAAATTTACCCCGTCAATTAAACGGAAAAGCCATTGTAAAACCGACGTACGCAAACAATGTCTGTCACGGCATAATTTATTTTTGTGTGCTGTAGTAGACCCTATCATCCCAAATTAGTTTAAAGAAAGATGTATTGGTATTTTGTTTATTTATACTTAGAAGATGTGTAGGCCTAGGTCTATTCATTTTACAATTATTCTACGGTCTTTATATTTGTTTATTTGCCGTAAATAGGTCACCCAGACCAATTTACGGCACTCCAATGTTAAAGGTTTGAATGTCGTAATTGTCCAACACGTGCCTGCAAATTTTCACGATGTTTCTTATTTTATTTCTTACCTGTGTTGACCGTGGATTTGCTACGGCCCGAGAGTAGGACTAGGAGGACGATGAGAGCTTTCTCAGTTTCTGCCTGACCTGATTCTCATTCCACCGTAATAATAATAATATTCGTGAGACACGTACAACAACTTTACAAACAAGTCAAATAATACAACGTGTTTTGATTATCAATATCTACCTGTTGTTATAATTCGTTGTACTCAAATAAAACACAAACACTGTTTTAAGAATCGTTTTAATTTTTAATCTCAAAGTAATAAAGTAATATTTGCAAAAAAAACCCAACAAAACAACAAATACGAAAGGTCCTCAACTTATCTATCCAGAGAAACAGAGTGGGGCGGGACAATTTTATGCTCGGTCGGGTGGTGTCAAAAAGTTTTTAGATCCCTGTATCATTGATGAAAATTAAGTGAATTTGGTAAAATTTGAATATATAAATGGAAATTTGATTTGCACTGAACCAAATACAAAAGGCAGCAGATGCTCTGAAAATACACAAAGAAGGGTTTAATTTTCATAAAAGACCACGCCCCCCTCCAAAAAAAATGTTTGCCTCGCTCTGCTCGCCAACTATATTTTTACACCACTCACCAAATCCTGGCTACATCCCTGTCTTTCAGTACGACCCTGCAGGCACATTTTCAAGTGTGTGCACAGGCACACTCAACTTTTATAGAGTCCTGCGAGGAATGAGGCTAGACATATTGCACCAAACGAAACGGCGTATGTAGAATAACCAGGCGCTAGAAATTTGCATTCGATTGAGACTGCTGGCTTATTTCGCGGAACATAACTGATTTGAAATTAGAGTAAAAAGGGAAACCATTGAATGTATATCAGTTTATATACATTCATATTACAGTATTTTATGAGTTGCGACCAACTTGTGTCAATTTCTAGGTCCCAAATGTTAGCGATTTAGCTCCTTTAAAGTAACCAATCATATCAGAAATTGCACAGGTTCAGGGCCATGAACAGGCTTTCTGTGCGTGATATGCATGAGCTCTATAAAGGAAATCATAGTAAACTTTTAAGTCAGACTTCCATTAGATTCCAGAGAGGTTCCATCTGAGTTCCTAGACAGCCGCGAGGCTGGCTAGGGTGGAGAAATGGTTTTAGCTAGTATTGTAATCTGTGCCATGCTTGTATACATGTATTCGGCTATGCTATATAAAATGTAGAAGCGAACTGTTGCATTGTTATTCCTGGTAAGACAAACGTCTTAAGAAAAGAGTAAGAAGCAAACACACAACGTGAAGCAGAAGTAAAGACAGTTAGAGACAAATTTTAGACGATCACAGGCTACAGAAATATGTAGTAAGAAGAGATGCATGGGTCGTATGTAGGATGTGGCGACCGGTTTTTAGGATCGCCCGCTTTTCACGTCAGACAGAAAGGCCCATGGTACTACACTTTCTGGATTATTGCCCTGGATTGTACAAAAAATCGAGTTTGTTTTTAGCTGGTTCTCTATCCATCTCTTGCAAAATGTGGGCGTATCCTGCCTGGCAGCCGCTGGTTTTTTAGCTTGTTCTCTATCCATCTCTTGCAAAATGTGGGCGTATCTTGCATAGCAACCGCTGGTTTTGTAAGACATTTGACTTGTGTATGTACTATTATAATCACCTATAAATCAAGGTTTTGGTCTGTATGACTAGAATTCAATGTAAGACGGACAATATGATATATAACAGACTAGCATTCAATGTTATATGGACAATATGATATATAATGGACTAGCATTCAATACGGACAATGTGATATATAATGGACTAAACATACTTTAATGAATATTTCAGATATTTGCTAAAGTATGCAGTGTTTTACCATGGTTACCTGGAAAGTCATTAGATGTTATAGCTATTAATGTAGATTACACTACTTTAAAAATAATAGCTGCCTATCTGGAGGTAAAATTTTAAAACTGTATCAGTACAGTGTAAATGCAACATATAAAATATATTTTTTCATCTTGGCAATTTTCATATAAAAATCATGAGATAATTCACCATATTTTCTCAATTTTGACTCTTATCAAATATTTTATGACCAACATCATATTCAGATTGGATAAAATTAAGAGATGCAGCAACAGCTAAAGAATGATGAATGTACTAAAGGAATATGGCAGAAAGTACATTGATTTTAATATCTTTGTCTTATGTACATATATTTGTAATATAGCATACAACAGCACTCATGCTGTCGATCGCCATTGCCGCCAATTGCGATAAAAATATAATTTTGGCAATAGAATATTCAATCTGGCGAAATTTTTGGCGATTACTTTTTCCTGTAAGGCGATTCTTTTTTAACTGGTGGCGATAAATTTTTCTTGCCACAAAGCTTTGATTTCCATGCCATGCATATACATGTTACAGTCTATTATGCATTTGGCTGAGTCAGTTATCAATCAATTGATCTGATCAATCTCGGATTAGCGTTGATTAGTATTTACAGTAAAAGTAGTAATAAACTAATTAAGAGACAAAAGGTTTAATTATTTGTCTTCAAATACGAATCAGTGACTATTTTGACGGTTTCTATATATTCAAAATGGCGGACACTATGAATAATACTCGTTCGATTTGTTTGGGATTATTTAATTATGACGTCTGTTTTATCTTTTTCTTACTCCTGTAGCCCGTATCGTTAATAAATGAAGCAAGGTTTGTTGTTACAATTTATGATTGCGTATATATTGTTTGGTTTGTCGAAAGTCAGTTATCATCAAATCACATGCCATGGGTCGTAAGCAAAAATTTACTAGCCTTCGTCAACGTCCGATAGAAGAATGTCAGATTATTTTAGTATATCACGACCAAAATGCTCCAAGTCTACTGACATGATCAGCTCCCGTCCATCTAATATTCTTACATCCTTGAATGTTGAAGCGATATCAACTTCTACAATAGACCTGCATTAGACTACCTCAAAAATTTTGAAAAAGAAAAATCTTAAAGGGGCATTATGGGAGATTAGATAAAGAACTGGCAGTTTTCATTATAATAGTTAAAAATAGATAACGTGAATAGAGTATGCTGGAAATTTCAGTCAAATTGCTCTACTCTGAACCGCGATATTAGCTTTTGAATTTTAGACCTAGCCTCGATCATCATTACTAAAGTCGGTACAATTAAAAAACATAGTCTCGATTATCCAGTTTTTGTTTAAGCCCATACTGAAAAGGTAGATCTTGAAACATGAATGGAAATTTTCAGATTTACAGATATTCATTAAAAACAAATACACTGTGTAATTTAATGTTGCTAAGTAATGGGAAAGTGGTTAACTAAGATGTTGAAAAAAGCTTTCAAAAAATGGGCTTCTGCAAAGCAGAGTAGAATATTGTAAATTGTAATATTATATGTATATTGTATCTACTTATGTAAAAAGAAAATACTGAAAAAATCTAATAGATATTTGTTCTTTATTTTGTCGGAGAAAATATATGGCTAATAAATTAAAATGAAAATTTAGCGGAAAAAAAATGAAACCCAGAGTGAGCAATGGCATACAAGATTGTAGAAAATAACATAATAGTAATAGTTTATATTATATATAGTTCTTTAATTCTTCTTTACAGATAAATGAAGATGAAAACGCATTTAATAAAAGTATCAGTGTTGTGTTAGATAAGTAAGTGTCATTTTAGAATATTTTGAAAAAGCCAAGTAGGTGCTTAGCAAATTTATTTAAGAAATTTTGAATAAGTATTAAAGGAGCTAAATCGCTAATATTTGGGACCTAGAAATTGACAAAAATTAGTCGCAACGCATATAATAATGTAATATGAATGTATATAAACTGATTTATATTCAATCGTTCCTGTTTTTACTGTATTTTCTAATCAGTTATGTTCAGCAAAATACGGCAGAAGTCTCATGTGAATGGCAATCTTTAGCGTCTGGTTTTTCCAGTATACACCGATGGTATTTATTGCGCATGCTCTCCAGATAAGAATATAGCGTCACCATTTGACATGACTTGGGGGATATGTTTAGCCCTGTTCTTTGAGTCCCTTCTTCCAAATGGCGCTGAAACGCATTATGGTACACTATTCGTGTACCAATGGTAAAATGTTTATTTTGTCTTGAATATTGGATATCAGAAGCCCATCTTTTCCCTGTAAGATCACAAGACCAATGTTGATTTGAATTGACAAATAATTCGTGTTTTCAATGTCGAAGATTTTTGATGATATTGAGTTAGAGACTTGGCTACTTTAAGTGCTATAGGAGAAGAAATTAAAAATATCTAAATTTGTGCTTCTACCCTCTGTTAAGCAACATGATTTGAAGTAATTTGAATAAAGAAAACTCATGGATTATACATGTCACATCTTGAAGAAGAAAAAGTGGTTAGGAGATAAAAGAATATCAAATTTCCTCTTTAAGTTGGACTGGCCGAATTCATTAAATTCATTAGTACAAATCTTATTTAGCACCACACAAGCAACGTACATGTACCTAGCATATTTATATTACAACGGTTGTAGGATTTAGGAGACAAAGTGAACTACGACTTATTATGTCCCTTCAAGGATTTACAGTGAATGACATAATCCATGTACATAATACTTGTTTTATTTATTTGTAGGCAACAAAGAAATAAAAAATACTTAGTGAAAATATTGGACCAAATTTATGAGCTGAAGTTTGAGAAAAAGTGAGTAAAACTGACAAAATAATTTGCTCTTGAAATACTCATTTCTGTAGTTCAAGAAAACCATCAACTGATATTATCCATAGACTGGAGGTCAGCCTGGATATGAAGTGCCAAGTTTGCTTTGAAAAATACTGTGGCCGCTCAAGGGACTAAGGTTATATCATTCAATCACTTGCACTTTTTTTTTGTTTATGTCCATTTGTTTATTGGCTTGAAAATTCTTTTTAAAGATACATTCCTGCATACAAACAGGGTGATTTGATGATATATTTGGACCAAAAACATATTCAAACTAATTAATCTGTTAAAATTTTGCTTCAAATCCTTCTCAAAACATTGTTTTCGCGAGGGAATACTCCTGCTGTATAAAGTCTATAAAAAGAAGTCATGTTTGTGTCATGTGCCTTGGTTGACACGCTACCTGGAAACGGGTGCAAAGCCGGAGGAGAATTCATAGCATATACAAGACGATGTTGTCTTTAATCGCTGTCCATTTATCATAAATATCAAAGACTAATTAATTTTTTGTATTATCCACTATCCACGTCTTTTTCTGTGTTTTTTTTCTCAGAAACTGTTGTACATTTAAGCGCTTCGTCTAGTTTATCAACATATACATCAAGCGCTCACTAACGCTGAGAGATCAGACAATCTTCGTGTGCAACCTTTGACGTCACGCGACCAGACATTCCTAATCGTCGGGGTGCCGGTTAGGGAAACCCTTACATTTTTGTCCTGTATGCGCTCCATGGGTGTTTTTCAGGGAATCCAGTATTTTTCTAGTAATATTGGATGTTTCTACTTTCCATATATACCAAAATTGCCATATTTTTATTGGAAATAACCACCCAATAAATACTTTTCTGGGAAAGTATCTTTAATATTTTTGCTCACGAGACAAAGCCAGTTGACTTTCAATGATTTTTATACATCCACATGTAATGTGAACATATAATGTTGTCACCTAACAAGCCGTCGTCCACCAAGAACTTATTGAAATTCATAATATTTTGATCGCAAATTCCAGAGTTATCTTGCCATTTACATTAAAACTTATGAAATATTGTGGAATGGGACATGTGAAAGTTCCTGATAGCATTTGAAATATTTTGGAAATGGGACATGTAAAAGTTCTTGATAGCATTTTATAAAACTCATTGTTCATTAGTATAAAGAAGAACCCTATCAAATTTCTAAATGTTTAGATCATAATTTTGAATGTGTTTTTCCAATTTTTCTTTCCGCACTGGATAAAGTTCTCAACAGGATTTTTTTAAAAACTTGGTTTTATTGTTCAGTTGAATCCCAGAGTTATCCCTCAGTTTAACTTCAAGAATATAAATTTTGAACACATTTTGTAGAGTACCTTTTCATTCACATTTTGACAGTGATACCCTGTGAACACAATTGCCTTCATGGAAATCTTGGACACATTAGCTGCTGTGGGAGAATTTTGTTTTATATTTAATTCAAATGATATGCCTAATTGAATTAAATTTCTATTTAAATTATACTAGATGCTGTTATTTTGTTATTTATGGAATGAAAGATGACAGTATGAAACTTATGACATGAATAACAATCATAGTATTGTTGAAATCAAAGAAAACAGTGGATACAGATTGGACTTTGGGAACAGATTTTTATACGCCCACATTGAAATGTGGTCCTATATTGTCGTCACCCCCGTCCGTTCATCCAGCGTCCACAAGCGTCCGTCTGTCAATGTGGACCCTCTAGAGGCTAAAGTTAATATCCGATTGACTTTAAATTTATACACAGTGTTTAAGGTCATGAGACGAAGAAGCGTATTGATTTTCAGCGATTTCCGATAATAACTGCTAGAGGTAGCGCCCTTGATCACGTCAAAAAATCTTGTGGACGCTCTAGAGGTCAAAGTTAATATCCGATTGGCTTTAAATTTATACACCGTGTTTACGGTCATGAGACAAAGAAACCTATTGATTTTCAAAGATTTCTGATAATTACTGCCAGAGTTATGGCCCTTGATCACTTTTAAAAATCTTGTGGACGCTCTAGAGGCCAAAGTTAATAAATTTATACGCAGTGTTTGAGGTCATGAGACCAAGAATCCTATTGATTTTCAACGATTTCCAATAATTACTGCCAAAGTTATGGCCCTTGATCAATTTAAAAAATCTTGTGACGCTCTAGAGGCTAAAGTTATCATCCGATTGACTTCAGATTGATACACAGAGTTTAAGGTTTTGAGACGAACAAGTATATAGATTTTCAATGTATTTTGATAACTTGAACAGCTAAATCCATGATATTAAATGTTTCGTATACTAAACATTAGCATGGGGCAGAACTTTATAACAACCAAACAAATTCTAATGATTTTCTGATGATTAATTAATGAGTTGTTACTCTTTAATCAGATTTTAGTGTATTATAAATGTTTCATTATCGAAAAAAGTAAAAATATGCGACAACTCTTGTTGACTGCCCGGATGATTTAGCTGCTGTGGGTGTATGTTTCGTTGCCTGGCAACCTATCTTTATACTCCCACATGGAAAGTCCGTCCGTCCAATCCATCGTCCACAATTTCTTGTGAACGCTCTAACTCCACAAGTTATAATCCGATTGTTTTAAAATTGATGTATGTGGTTTACATGAAAAAGCCTATTTAATTTCAATAATTTCTGTTCATTACGTCTTTAGATAGGCCCTTGTCTCACTTTGTTGAACCTTTTGAAATCTATTACCTCAAAAGTTATCATCTAATCTTTGTGAAATTTATATGCATTATTTATAATAGTGAAACAAAGAAGTCTATTGAATTTCAGCAATTTCCATTTATTACGTCTAGAGTTATGGCCCTTGTTTCACTTTATTGAACCTTGTGAACGCTCTAACGCCAAATGTTGTCACCCAATCTTTGTGAAATTTATATGCATGATTTAAATTAGTGAAACGAAGAATCCTATTGAATTCAGCAATGTCCATCAATTACTACTAGAGTTATGGCCCTTGTTTCACTTTGTTGCACCTTGGGAACCCTCATCGCTCAAATATCAAAAGTTATCTGCCGATCTGTATGAAATTGACATGCGTCATTTGAATTAGTAAAGAGAAGAATCCTATTGAATTTCAGCAATTTCTGTTTATTACTTTCAGAGTTATGACTCTTGTTTCACTTTGCTGCACTTTGTGAACTCTCTAACCTCTAAAATTATCTGCCGATCTGTATGAAATTTATATGTGCCATTTAAGTTAGTAACAGTCCTATTGAATTTCAGCAATTCCTGTTTATTAGGTCTAGAATTATGTCTCGTTTCACTTTATTGAACCTTGTGAATGCTCTAACGCCAAAAGTTATCATCCGATCTTTGTGAAATTTATATGCATTATTTATATTAGTGAAACGAAAAAGCCTTTCAAATTTCAATAATTTCTGTAGACTACTTCCTGAGTTGAGGCCCTTGTTTCAGTTTGTAGTACCCTCAAATGACAAAAATTATAATCTGATCTGTATGGAACTGTCTTGTAAAGGCCCCCAATTACCTACAAAGGAATAAATATGCGACAACCCTTGTCGACCGCTCAGACAATTTAGCTGCTGTGGGTGTATGTTTTGTTGCCTGGCAACCTATCTTTTTATTTTACAAACTAATTGGGCATAGAATGTCCACAAATGTCCATGTTGCTATAACTGGAATAAAAGTGTGCTAGGTGCTATGGAATAAGATGTTAATTTTTAAAATCATGTACAATTAAATTGAAGATATTTTGAATATTAATTGTTTTATATTTTTAAAATAATTAATTAAAAATTGAAGTTTTATGAGGATATTGTATATTAATTGAATAAAACAGACAATAACAAACCTTCCAGTACAACCTCCTGTCTCAGACATCTACTTTTTAAATCAAAGATTTGGGTTTACTCCAAAAGTGACCAATAAACAATTCTAAACCCTTACCACTAAACTTGGTGTTATCTCTGGTTGCTTAAAATTGATTTCACAATTAAATATTTCCATAAATAAAAAGAAAGTTCTCTTGTAACATCCATAATTTTCTTCATACATTTGTCTTAACATGAGCAACTCATTGAACCCAGTGATCTGGTCAAAGACGAAACAAATCAGATTTTCAGTAGGTGTGTGTGTAAAATTGTTTCAACAATTCTGAATGGACCATAGTCAGGGACGGATTGGGCCGGTCAGAAAAAAATAATTTTGTCCAATTCGTCTAAAAAAAACTTTTTCTGCTGAACATTATATGGGGTGGGGAGGGGGGTATTGGACCGGCCATGGAGCGATGATGATCATGTTGTATGTGGCCGGTGGCTTTAATGGGCCGCCACGCCATCACTGGAGTCTGTACTGGGCTGGTAAAATAGACTTTCTGGGCTGGGTGTGGGCCGGAATTCGGAATCCTGCATAATAAGACGATATGATAATTTCTCAGGTTGATGGTTGTAAATCGATTTATGAGATATATTATTTGACAGAGATTATAATCAGATATGCCACCAAATCTCATATTTGGGGTTTATTTTTCAAAATTTTCCAGGGGGAGAGCCCCCGGACCCCCCGTCCAGGCTCTGCGGTCAGTAAAAGGGGCCGCTCCGACACGGGAGCCCGGGCCGGTTCCCGGACCCAATCCGCCCCTGACCATAGTTAGACATGCCAGTAGTGCCCAGTAGTGCCCAGTGGACTGATACATTAGAATATGATATTCTCAATCAACATATTTTTTGTGATTTCTTTTAGTTATAGTTGATCACCCCATATCAAAATTTCTGATAAATTTGAATCTCTGTGTCGGGATTGACGACGAAATCCATGTTTACTTTAAACAACAACCTGATGTCAGAGGAATGTTTGAGTTAGGGAGTTCACACATTAATGCTTTATATTCACTAATGAGACCAAAAACAAACTTGCGGGTAACTGAAAACTTTTGGATTTCAAAAGGTAGGCCTACATAAAAATACAGGTACTGCTTATTAGTTATTAATTAATTCACTTAAAGGTCTGATTTAAATCGCAAGAATATGGTTGATTGTTTTATACACCAAGGCATTTTATTAATTGCAGAAATTTAATCTATACAAATCCTGTTCATTACAAATAGCTTATCAGATATTTCAGACTGAAAAATTGATTATAATTATTGTTGATGTTATCGGATAATAATTATTGATGATGGTCATTGTGAGACCTAAATATCTGAGAAAATTCGATATAATTTAATATGTCTCATTATTTTCAATATTTGCATATATTATATGTAAACTACTTCATTCATGTGTATTTTTTGTCCCCCGCCTTTCGAAGAAAGCAGGGGACTATTAAAATGGGTTCGTCTGTCTGTCTGTCTGTCTGTCTGTCTGTCTGTCTGTCTGTCTGTCTGTCTGTCTGTCTGTCTGTCCGTCCGTCCGTCCGTCCGTCCGTCCGTCCGTCCCGTCCGTCCGTCCGTCCGTCTGTCTGTCCGTCCGTCTGTCTGTCCGTCACACTTTTTGGGACACAATAACTCTCTTCCTAATTGAGCTAGAATGTTCAAACTTGGTGTATGTGTTTATTAGGTCAATGCCTTGATGGAGTTCGAAGATGAGCATTTTCCGCTTAGGGTAAGCAGAGATAAGCAATTTGATTGGTTGATGCTTTGGGACACGATAACTCTCTTCCTAATTGGGCTAGAATGTTCAAACTTGGTGTATGTGTTGATTAGGTCAATGCCTTGATGGAGTTCGAAGATGAGCATTTTCCGCTTAGGGTAAGCAGAGATAAGCAATTTGATTGGTTGATGCTTTGGGACACGATAACTTTTAATTGAGCTAGAATGTTCAAACTTGGTGTATGTGTTTATTAGGTCAATGCCTTGATGGAGTTCGAAGATGAGCATTTTCCGCTTAGGGTAAGCAGAGATAAGCAATTTGATTGGTTGATACTTTGGGGCACGATAACTCTATTCCTAATTGAGCTAGAATGTTCAAACTTGGTGTATGTGTTGATTAGGTCAATGCCTTGATGGAGTTCGAAGATGAGCATTTTCCGCTTAGGGTAAGCAGAGATAAGCAATTTGATTGGTTGATGCTTTGGGACACGATAACTTTAGTTCTAATTAAGTGAGATTGATGAAACTTGGTGTATAGATTTATTATATGAATACCTTAACTAAGTTCGATAATGAACATTTTTTGCTGAGGGTAAGCAGAGTGATAAGCAATTTGATTGGTAGAAACTTTGGAACACAATAACTCTCCTTCTAATTGAGGTAGAATGTTCAAACTTGGCATAGGTGTCTATTAGGTGAATGTTTAAACTTGATGTATATGTAGATGTTCATTAGGTGAATGTCTTGACTGAGTTCAATAATTAACATTTCGAGCTGAAGCTAAGCAGAGCTAATCGATTTCATTTGTCGATGGTTTGGGACAAGATAATCTTGATTCTATCTGATAGAGAGTGATGAAACTTAGTGAAAAAAATAAATGTGCGATTAATTAATATGTGTCATCTATTTATTTTGCAATTTCGGCGGGGGACATCAGCCTCACTGTTGGCTTGTTTTTACCTAGATCATCATTTGGATATATGTTTAATGTTATGTTGATGATTTTACATGTATGTAAAATGTATTCATATGTGATATGTTTTGTAGATAGCAAACATTTTATAAATAAAATCTATTTATTTGTATTTTTTAGTTAATAACTGATTAACTGTTAATTAAAAACTGAAATCAGGTTTATTTTATGTTCACCTTAAAGGGGAAGTCCCCGATTTCACGATAACTGTAATTAATCGTATGCTAGAAGACTATGCATGATTTTAGTGGTATAGAATCCCTTGCAAACTACGATATTGTGAAAGTTGAATCTCTAATAGGAATATCAGTTCAAAAATGGTTCATTTCCATCAATCTATTGTGATCCCTATGTAACAAGACCAAATTGATGAGCCTGTTTTAAATCCAATTGCATCCAAGCTGGGAGATTATCTAGCTTTGGTATTTTCATTTTTTTTCTTAATTAAATGTTAAAATAATAAATCTGAGTACATATTAGCATGATTAATACGTGAAAAATTTGATATTTTCTGAAATATACAAAACATGCAAATGAAAAGCTAAAATGTTGTAATTCCTGTTCTAATTGGCCATCCAGGTCCCCGTCCCCACACTTAATAAATTCAAGTTTCCCTTTTTATCCACACATCAAAAAGTAATTAAAGATATCTTCCCACGTACAAACTGGGTGATTTGATGATATATTTGGACTAAATACAACATATTCAAACTAATTAATCTATCAAAACTTTGGTTCAAATCCCTCTCAAAACATTGTATTCGCAAGAAAATACTGCAAGATATAAAAAAAATATATTTTTAGAGGCCATGCTGGACACCTAACTTGAAATAGGGAAGGCCCATTTTCAGAATGTATTTGCCATACATATTGAAGCTTAATTAAATTGTTGGATTATCTTCTGCCAACTTCTTTTTCAGCTGTTTAATTGCAGAGTCTGTTGTACGTTTAAACCCCTCAATGTTCCCAAAACTGCCTAACCATTCGATCAAGAAATAACAACCGCTCCCCAAGTCAAGCTGGCAGACAATAAGCCACCGGGTTGCCAGTTAGTGATACCCTGAAATTTTTGCCCAATGTTGCCATTTGGGTGGTTTTTTTTAGCTAATCCAGTATTTTTCTAGTAAGATTGGGCGTCTCACTTTCCATTTATACTAAATTTGCCATACTTTTATTGGAAACTAGAAGAATGCCCGGCTTCGCTTGGGGGTCATAACCCCGAAACCGGAAGTGGTAGACTAACGCCAACTGGCCTATGTTACTCCCCGGTCCGAGCTACCCCTATACCCCAAATTTCAGACTCGGGGCAGACCTAGTGTAACTGCCAACCCCGAACAGACAGACAAACGACAGTCACAAATATTAGTATAGATGATGACTACCCTATAAATACTTTAATGAGAATGTATCTTTAAAGCAAAAAAAAAACGCAGTTTAAAAGGGTGAGTATTTGGCAGGTGTCTGGAATGGAATAAAATTTACCCATTTAAAACCCTGATATGGTCCAAAAATTGCTTAAATTGGTAAAACTTAACTTTTGACCAAGCTTGGGTTCGAATTTCGTGAAAATCGGACCAAACTTGCCGGACAAAACGGCCGACACTCATACGCAAATAGTGTAACCAGTGGCGGCGCCAGGGGGGGGGGGGCAATTAATCTGATCTGCCCTCTGTTTGCCCCCCCCCCCCCCCGCCAAGAATTTTAGAAAATAAAAAAAAGTATTTGTGATACGTTTCAGTAATCAATACCTTCTACGCTAAATAAATCCCACATCCCCATTCAGTCATAAACTTGCATGTTGTATTCCGACAGTCTATTTTTTAAAAATTTCTTGGCGAGATCCCAAATGGACTCGCTACTTTGGCGCTCACAAGGGAAATTCGTTGAGGTTCGCAAGTCCGTTCGTTTTACATTTTCTTCTCTAGTCGGATAAACTAGTAATCAGGCGACGAACGGTATCTGGTCAGATCTATTTATCTCGACGATCGGTGTCTGACAGAATACTGTAAGACAGCATTTCCGGCAGTCTATTTTCAAAATTTTCTGGGGGAAGACCCCCTACTTTGACGCTCGTCCGTTCGTTTGACACTTTACCTCATCGATCATTGCCTGAAATACTGCCAGTCTGCATTTCCGGCAACCTGTTTTTCAAAATTTTCTGGGCGAGGCCCCCAACCCCTAGTTGAAGCTCGTGCCTTTGCCCCCTTAACCTTGGACTTTGTCCCTCCAATCACCGACGGCTGGCGCCGCCACTGAGTGTAACTAGCGGTTGCCAGACATGATACGCCCACATTTTGCAAGAGATGGATAGAGAACAAGCTAAAAACAAACGCGATTATTTGTACAATCAGGTGCAATATTCCAGAAAGTTATGGCCTGAAATGTGCAAATATATTAAGGGACTGAGATCTTTGGGATATAAAGATATGTTTTAAGTTTCATCAAAATCGGATAAAAATTGTGACCTCTAGAGGGTCCACAACCTTCGTATTACACACTTCTACACATTGCGTACAAAGAGCGGCCATTTTGTCGGGCAGTTTCATTTCGATTTTCCCGAAATTCGAATTCAAACTTCATTATGGTGGAATGGTGATGTATTTAAACGGTTTTAAAAATCAGTAAAAAATTTTGACCTCTAGAGAATCGCAAGCTATAAATGCGATTTTTCGAACAATCAGGGGCAATAATTCAGGAAGTTAAGTCCGGGTATCCGCGATTATCAAAAGGAACCAAGATCTTAGTGTGTAATGATGATATATTCACACTTATTTTTTTTTTTAAATCGGATAAAAATTGTGACCTCCGTATACAGGGACCACTAGCTAAAAACGCGATTTTTCGTACAATCAGGGGACATAATTCAGGAAGTTACGATCCGATATGCGCCGAATATTGAAAGGAACAGAGATCTTTGGGTTATAAACTTGCATTTTAAGTTTCATCAAAGTCAGATCAAAATTGTGGCCTCTAGAGGATCACTAGAGGTCATAATTTTATTCTGATTTTGATGAAACTTGAATTGTAAGTTTATAACCCAACGATCTTGGTTCCTTTTAATATTCGTCATATCGGATCGTAAAAATCGCGTTTTTAGCTTGTGGTCCCTCTAGAGGTCACAATATTGTGTATCAGGGTTGTGGATCCTCTGGAGGTCACAATGTTCATCTGATTTTGATGAAATTTGAAATGCATGTTTATAACCCAAATATCTTGGTTCCTTTCGATTTTCGTGCATATCGAATAGTAACTTACCGAATTATTGCCCCTGATTGTACGAAAAATCGCGTATTTAGCTTGTGGTCCTCTAGATGTCACAATTATTATCCGATTTTAAAAAACGTTCGAATATATCACCGTTACACCGTAATTTTGTCTGAGGTTGAGTTTCTTGAAAATCGGACCAAAATTGCCAGACAAAATGGCGGCCCTCGTTCCCAAATAGTGTAAACATCTGGTATATCAAAGTTGTGGACCCTCTAGAGGCCACAATTTTGATCCGATTTTCATGAAACTTGAAATGCAAGTTTATAACCCAAATATCTTGGTTCCTTTCAATATTCGCGCATATCGAATCGATCGTAACTTCCTGAATTATGGCCTCTGGTTTTACGAAAAATCGCCTTTTTAGCTTGTGGTCCCTCTCGAGGTCACAATTATTATTCCATTTAAAAAAAACCGTTCGAATATATCACCGTTACACCATAATGTTTGTTGACTTCGAATTTCGTGAAAATCGGGCAAAACTGCTGGACAAAATGGCCGCCCCTCGTACGCAAATAGTGTAAACATCTGGTAACCAAGATTGTGGATCCTCTAGAGGTCACGATTTGATTCGATTTTGATGAAAGTTGAAATACATGTTTATAACCCAAAGATCTTGGTTCCTTTCGATATTCGCGCGTATCGGGTTGTATCTTCCTGAATTATGGCCCTTGAATGTACAAAAAAATCACGTTTTTGGGCTTGTGGTCCCTCTAGAGGTCACAATTACTATTCAATTTAAAAAAAAAACGGACAAATATCACCGTTACACCGTAACTTCCTGGATTATGGCTCTTGATTGTTCGGAAAATCGCATTTTTAGCATGCGGATTCTCTAGATTTTTTCCGATTTTAAAAACCGTTTAAATATATCACCATTCCACCATAATGAAGTTTGAATTTGAATTTCGGGAAAATCGAAATGAAACTGTCCGACAAAATGGCCGCACTTTGTACGCAAATTGTGTAAAAGTATGCTACGAAGGTTGTGGACCCTCTAGAGGTCACAATTTTTATCTGATTTTGATGAAACTTAAAACATACCTTTATATCCCAAACATCTAAGTCCCTTTTGATATTTGAGCATTTCAGACCATAACTTTCTGGATTATTGCCCCTGATTGTACAAAAAATCCTGTTTGTTTTTAGCTTTTTCTCTATCTATCTCTTGCAAAATGTGGGCGTATCCTGACTGACAGCCGCTGGTTATCCGATGAAAATTGTGACCTATAGAGGATTCACAACCCTGATACACAATATTTTGACACTATTTGCGAACGAAGGGCGGCCATTTTGTCCGTCAGTTTCGGTCCGATCCGATATGACGAATATTGAAATGAACCAAGATCTTTGGGTTATAAACTTACATTTCAAGTTTCATCAAAATCAGAAGAAAATTGTGACCTCTAAAGAGGTCCCTCTTGTGGTCCCTCTAGAGGTCACAATTTTTATCCGATTTACAAAACCGTTTGAATATATCATCGTTACACCCTAAGGGTGGTTGAGTTCGAATTTCGTAAAAATCGGACCGAAACTAACAGACAAAATGGCTGCCCCTCGTTCGCAAATAGTGTCAAAATATTGTGTATCAGGGTTGTGGATCCTCTGGAGGTCACAATGTTCATCTGATTTTGATGAAATTTGAAATGCATGTTTATAACCCAAATATCTTGGTTCCTTTCGATTTTCGTGCATATCGAATAGTAACTTACCGAATTATTGCCCCTGATTGTACGAAAAATCGCGTATTTAGCTTGTGGTCCTCTAGATGTCACAATTATTATCCGATTTTAAAAAACGTTCGAATATATCACCGTTACACCGTAATTTTGTCTGAGGTTGAGTTTC